ATACCCAACATACCTGGGTATGTATACAAATTATATGTCAGTTATCGGACAAAAATTAAGTTTCATTATAAATTTTATGTTTTATTATTACAATTATATATATTCTTGTATCTTATGAAAAAAAATTAACTAAACAACAAGTTTAGTTCCAAATACAGAGTCATGTGTTTTTATTCATAAATTTTAATGTGATATATTTGAGGACCCTGTAACATTAACAAATATGTTCCGATTTTGATGAAGTAATTTTTTTTTATTGTATATGAATTAGTAAAGTAAATTTATGCTGATTATAATAATTTTATTCTCATATAAACAAAAATATTTAAGTTTAAATTTTAAAATTAAAATTTTTGACCATGACTTAGCAATCTTATTTTGCAAAAAACTTCCCTACTTACGACAGCAAAAACAATTTCATTAATGCTAATCGATTTTATACACCTTAATAAATAATATATAAAAGTTTTGTTCAATTATCTTTCCCGGTCACTGAGTAATAGCTTCTTGAAGTCAAAATTTTACAAAGTCAAATTCTGCATAATGTACATTATACGTTATGAAGGCGTTTTTCTTTACGTTTTTTGCATATGATATTTTTGTTAATAGGAAAGCAATAAGAAAACTTTAAAAGAAATTGCTACAATTTAATGGTTTATGATCAAAAACTATTTAATTTATATATACAGACGTTTTATTAAATTAGTTTTAATAATTATCTGAATTATACACTAGAAATGTATAAAAAGATGAAATAGCCATATAAATTGTATGACATACCCGGTTATGTTGGGTATTGATGTACGTAATTTTGCTCGGGTATAGACAAGACGGTTAATGCCCTAAGAATAAGTATATACATATATATGTATATCAAATAACTAATAACACTAGGTAACAACGATTTTGTTTAGAATATAAAACCTATATGGTTTTCTTTGTTTAGGACGTCAAAGACCAGAAAAAGTATGTATTTAAAAAATCTAGGACGTCAAATCTTTTAATTATTCATTAAAAAAATGCTAAAAAAGGGTTAAATTCGGAAGAAAAAATTTAAATTTATAGTTTTATTTATTTTTTATATAAACAATTTTATGGGTCTTATTCACAACACTTTAGCAAAGGTATTCTTATTGCAAAAATATTGAAAATTCAGTTAAAATAATATTAATCTTGGTGAATAGATGTCAGGTTTATTACTCATACTTCTAAGAGCTTTTAAGAAACAATATAAATATATATGAGGGTTATATTCAAATACGCAAGTTTATAATTTCTCCTCTATATAAATCCTCTTTCAGAAAATAAATTTATTCCCAATAAATTATTAAAACATTTTAGTATTATGATACATTCGAAAAAATTATTTGTTTTAAAACATCCTTCTTAGAGCTCGGTCCGTGATCCAAACCATTAAGATCATATTCCGAAAATAAAATCGATACACGATATAAATTTGAGCATAAATCTAATAAATGAGCATATCTTGGTAAAACGTCTTGTGTTGGTGCGTATGTAATATTCGGCATTCCTTAACTTTTACCTGTTTTTATATGTTCATACATTTTTATTTTATTGTATATTTTAAATGGAAGATATTAGCCGTTTTAGCATTAGTCACTACATTGTTAACAAAACGACGCTCTTTTAGCTTATTTTTTCAAATATTTGTTACGATTATTGCATAATAATATTTAAAATAATTCACTTCTTAGTTTAATTTATAGTGTAAATTATAAATTACAATAAACATATACAAAAAGTTTTCGTGAGAATTTCTTAAAATTTCACATCTCAAAACTAAATTTTTGCAGTTCTCTATAGAAATTAATCTTTAAAGTTCTTTAATTATAAAAAAGTGCAAAATAGAAGAAAAAATGCCAAAAAATGCACTTTTAATGCTAAAAATTTCTAGCAACGAAAAAGTGATAAAGTGACGAAAAAGTGATAAAAAACATCTGGCCCTTTTTTCTAAAAAATAAGTGCAGCCGACGAAAAAAAGTGCTAGAATTGCACTTTAAATGCCGTTATGGCAACACTGTTCCTATATAAATTAAATACAAAAATTCGCTTATCTTGGAAGCTATTACAGTTAGAATCTTCAAATTTTGCACGAATAACTTTAACATCCATTTAAACATTTTGGGTAATAAATTGGCGGACTACCCATGAGGGGAGCGACACCTCACATATTAATTAAATACAAAAATTCGTTTATCTGGGAAACTAATGAAACTTAATTCTTCAAATTTTGCACGAAGAACTTAAATATTCATCTGAACATTTTGGAGGAAAGAGCGCGGACTTTTATCTGGGGAGCTTGAAGCCCCCACATGAATCAAATAGAAAAATTCTTATATCGTATATCTTCAAATTTTACATGAAGAACTTTGACATTCATGTGAACATTTAGAGTATAACGGGCGGACTTTCAATGAGTGGCTTGGCACAACATATATGAATTAAATACAAAATTTCGTTTACCTTGGAAACTCTTATATTACTAAAATTTTTCATAGATAAATAGAAATTGGTGATACATAGAAACTGGCGAACTTGCAATAATTTGATTGACATCTCTCATATGTAACATATTATAAATATGGAAAACTATTGTAGTTAGAATCATCAAAATCGTTAAGTGGGTTTTTTATTTATACATATTGCTTTTAGGGTAGCAAAGCACACAATTTTTTTTTAAATTACCACTTATCGATTTTGTAAAGGGATATTTATATAGACAAGGTCAAATCATGGACCAATTTGAAATAGTCTTTTGCATTTTCGTTGAATTATGTGAAAAATCCTGTACATTATACCTGGACAGCCAGCCGCACAGACGGGTAAACATGGCTTAATGGACTTTTAAAAACTTGATTCGAATTTAGCACTTTTTTCAACAAATTTGCACTTTTTTGACCGTCATTTTGCACTTTATTCTGAGGGAGTTCTGGCAACACTGCATATAAGATCCTGTACAGAAAATAACTTTAACGCTCATAACCAGTGGGACCAGGTCTCAAAAAATGTTGCGGCTAAATCCCATCCAAAATAATGATAGAAAAAATGCTAAATTGATTTTAAAATGCCAAAAAAAATGCTAAAATTTTGTAAGTGTTTTTATGAACAATTCATATTAATTTGTAACTGAAATTCATTGTAATTTATATCAAGTAAGAAAGTATATTCTGCCGTGGTTGACCATATGAGTATAAAATTTGATTTATTTTTCGTAATAAAGCATTTATGTTGAATTGAACCTTGGTTCCGATATATTTAAACTAATTTTCTGAGAAAGGCTTTATACATTTGTATATGTATGGGGGCTAGGTAAATTAAAGGACGGACTTTAACCATTTTTAAAAGGTTTTGTCATTGGATCAAAAAGCATACGTGCTTATTGTTTTGAAAATTTCAACCTCTACCAGACGGTCAGACTTACATGGCTTAATCGATTCAGAAAATGATTCTTAACCAACTAGTATACTCAAACGTAGTATAGTGGAGTAGGGTAAAAAATTAAGTTCCGTGGTATTAAGATAAACAGAAATGCTAAAAATTATTTCAAAATTTTTGTAAATTTATCAATATGTAATGTCTCTAACTTTAAAATATTTCTGAATGCAAAAATTACATTAAAACTCTATTAATTACACTAGTTGCTCATGGTATAAAACCTATATGTGTTTTCGGAAGGAAAAGTATAATATTTCTAGTTTTACTTTTTTTATATAAACAATTTTATTTGTCTTCCTCAAAACACTTTAAAAATGATTTTCATGTCACAAAAATATTGAAAATTCCGTTGAAATAATTTTAAATCTCGGTGAATAGATGTCAGGCTTATAACTCATACTTCCAAGATTTTTTCGGAAAAATATATTTGAGAATGTATGAAATGAATTGAGAGATATATTCAAATCCGTAAGTTTGTAATTCTGGAATAAATTGTCAATAATATTTTCGAAATTTATGTATTTTTTTAATTAAAAAAAAACGTCACAACAAAATTACTAAAAATTTGGTAAAAATAAAAAGAACAGAAAGTAGGATGACAAAGTCTTAATTATATATTATTGATTTTTTTCAATACTTATTTTCAATAAATTAACAAGAACTCCTGAAGGATGATAAAAATTAAAACCTCTTTATTTCGTATAGGAAAAAATAAAATTTGTTAATTAACCGTCATACATAGCCTTTTCCAAAATTATATGTTTCATTCCATGAGCAAACAAAAAGTATTAGTTTGTAAAATAGCGTACTGAACGTATTTGTAAAAATATATAAAATCTCTTGAATTATTTCTATCACCTCGAATTTAAAAAAGCATTGGGTTCCAGAAAAATATTTTAGAATACAACATTTTAAAGTCTTCACTTTTATTGGCGTAATTTTAAGTTATTTATCTTCATGAATCTTTTTGCATTATTTTGAATTACAGTGTAAATTATTATATTTCTCATATTTCTTGTTGCTTGTGTTTGGGTAGACATTTAATTCTGATTTTTTCCGGTTAAACCTATTTCAAATATAAATCTTTTTTGCAAAAATTTGTCTTTTTTTGTTTATATACTATAATTGCAAAAAAAGCTAAAAATATTTTATAAAAATGCTAAATAAAATGCCAAATGCTAAATTAAAATTTTACAGCTAAATCAAAATAAAAAATGCTAAATCTAGCTGCAAAAATGCCAAAATGGTCAAACTGCTCACAACTGTCTTCATAATACCAGTTTACAGGGTTGTCAGATTTTTTTTACCTCCATCGCCAAAAGCTAAACGCAAAATCGCCAAAATAAAATATTATTTATCTATTTATTCCAAAATAAAAATCGTTTAAAAAATCATTTATATTTATTTATTTCATTTATTATAAAGTCAATATAAATCTAATAAAAGTCTATAATAAAATATTATATTTTTTTTTACTTTACATTTGTACTTTTAGTGCGTTAGTTATTTATATTAAATTTATATCGAAATATTTTTTACAAAAATTAATTGCGTAAATCTATAATATCATATACCTCATTCTCTGCAGATTCATTTTCACTGCTTGGTGTATCATACATTGTATTAGAATTAAACTTTTTTAACATTTTATCTGTAGGCTGAAATGAATTGCAACAATATTTATTAACATTCATTTAACTTATTATTCTTATCAATGAATCTAAAAGTTCATATTGAATTTTATTACGTAAGCGAGTTTTAGTGTAATTCATAATAGAAAATACCCTTTCTACGCAAGCGTTGCTGGTTGGTAAAATTAACATGTTTAGAACGGCCAATGCTAAATCTTTAAAGTGAAATGTTCCAGCCGCATCGCAATAATTGTAAACTTGTGGCCAAAAGTCTAATAAATTTTTTGGGATTTCACCTTTAAAGACCTCAGTCCAATTGATATATGCTAATTTTGACCATTGCAATTCATATTCCCCTGCAGATATTTTTGGATTTAAAAATAAAGTTAACGAATTTTGAACTTCCGAAAATTTTACTTGTGTTAAAGGGTTTCCACATTTTAATATTGAAAATTCTTTATATGTTTTAAAAATATTTATATTTTCAGGTAACCGTTTTAGCATTTCTTTTAATAGTTTTTTTAAGTACAAAAAACAATTTTCTTTTAAAATGTCTGCATCATATTCATTCATTTTTATATTTTTTAATTCCATTTCAAATTCTGTGCCAAAATCCATAGATTCCAATGGCAGAAAAGAATCAGGCGAATCAATAGCCAAATTTAATGAACATATTAAGTTATCCAAATTTCCATTATTTTTTAAAATTGACGGCTTAAACATTTTAGAAGAAAAAATTAATATTGTTGAAACTATTTCATCATACATGCTACCTGCATCCATATGATCAGGTTGAAATTCTAAATTTAAATGATTCATTTTATTAACTATTGGGTTAATAAATATCAAAAAAAGTCTATTTTTTTCGTCAGATAATTCTTTATAAATATGTTGAGCAGTCTTGTCATTTTCAGCAGTTGAGATTAAAGAAAAGTGGTATTTTAACTCCACCCACTGCTCCAAAACTCTTCTGATGGCGGCCCCATAAGACAGCCAACGAGTCCCCGATATTTGTACAAGTTTTCTAAAATTATTTGAATCAACTCCAATGTTAACCAAATCAAAAGCTCTTTTGTATAGTAAAGTACGAAGTGGGCTGTGGCTAAAATAGTTGTAAATTTCTTTAAGTAAAAAGTCTGCATTTTTGGGAATTTCACTTGAGGCTTTGGAGCAGCATAAATGGAGGGAGTGGCAGGTACATTTTAAAAGTAATAATTGTGGATTTTCTTGTTTTAAAAGGATAAATAACGATTTATTTTTACCACATAGATTACTGGCCCCGTCAGTTCCAAGAGCTATTAAGTTTTTTATATTTAAACCCACTTTGTTTAAAAACAGTTTCATACCTTCAAAAAGATTTGTTGCAGTAGCTTCTTCTACCAGGAAAATGTCCAAAAAATGGGTAACAATTTTAAGTCTTTTATGATCAAAAAATCTTACACAAATGCTCATCCATTTAGTTTGGGATATATCGGTAGATTCATCTACCACCAAACTGTAAAAATTATCACCAATATCTTTCACCAAATCCTCTAAAATTGACGGAGAAACGACATTTTTGATAATAGCAGTACACTTAGTTTTGTGCAGCCTTAATTTTTCAAATGCACTTTCTTTTGTTGAGCAGTTCCGTAGCAAGGTTGTAAGGTGGTCAACAGAAGCAATTGAGCTATGTTTTGCAATAAAAACGGCTAGTTTAATGTCAATAATTTTAGACTCATTTGATTGCGGCTGTGTTACTAAAAGTATATAAAAATACATTAAAATTTATTTTATATATTTGTTTAAAATGAACTTACTAAAATTTTCAATTTTGTTTTGCTTAAACAGCACCGCCATATTAGAAATGTGTTTATTACTTTCTGAATGCTTTTTTAGATCGATCTTATGGGATCTTAGAGCTATTTTGCATCCAAAACACCACGATGTATATTGGTCGTTAGATGTTGATTGGTACGACAAAGGGGCATCTGCAATAGATTTTAGCCAACCTACAAATTTAAGTCATTAAAAGGTTTAAAATATTACATTTGTGTACTTACCTTTGGCCCAAATTTCATTTTCCCACTCCTTTCGATGTCGACGATCTACTTTAATTTTTTTTGAAGAAGATGCCATTATAACATTTACGTTTTTTAAATAATGCTTTAATAGTATTTCTTTAATTTTTTACTTCTCCTAAATGTTTTCTTTTGAAGTCTTAATTTTTCTATTTACCGTTAACTAATTTGACACTTGTTTGCCATCAATACTGCACATTTAAAGAGGTGTCACACATCACATTTTTCAATATCAATTTTGACGGAAAAGTACTCTTAACAACAACAATCAGCTTGTTGTTTTTGTATTGTTTTACAAGTGTACGAAATGTCAAAGATATTGTTATAACCACAAAGTAAGCAGAGGCGACACGGCCACCAAGCGGCGGAAAGATGCACTAAAACTTGTCAAAGTGGCATCACTCATTTAACCCTTAAATAAAAAGAAGACAGCAAATATTAATATAATATGTATAGCTATCTCTTTTTTTTGTGAGGGTTAAATAAAAAATTGTTTGTTTACATTGAAATGTAAATTTTTTTAAACAAATTTGTGAAAAAAATGAGGAAAACTTTCTTTTTGCGCCAAAATTGGTGTCAATTTTGGCTTCAAAATTGCGATTTCGGCGCAAATTCCTCATTTCTGTTGTGTCATTTAAGAGTAGTAGTTGGAGTTTCGTAATTTTTTATTGGCCGCAGAAAAAATCAAAACAAAAAAACAGCAACATGTAAGTTTCATTTGGAAATTTTTAAATTTATTTTTTTCTAATATTCTCTTTATTTTTCAGGAGCCGCAAATGTGTTAAGGATTGTCCAGGAGGGGAGAATCTTCACCGCTTTCCAAAGGATCCGACAAGGTAGGAGTTTGAATTTTTAAGTGTCCAGTAAAGCCGGAAAGTGAATTTTCATTTTACAATTTCAATGGGAAAAATGTATGTCCAAAATGGAAATTGAAAATTTGCCTTTCCGTCTTTAATTCCAATTTGATAATATCATCTTTACCAATTGGATTATTGTGTAAGTTTGCAAGAGTGTTTTGTGTATTCTTCTTTTATTACCGGCAGTATATGAAGTCTTTGGTTGTAGACGGTGGCAATAAAAAATGATTACACAAAAACTTTTACAAATGATTACACAAACATTTATACTGGCATATGAATTATTATATAGACTGGTGTAAGAATTACACTATTTACCAGTCATTAATTAATTTATTGATTAGTTCTCTGTTGATTAGTCTATTGATTAGTTTATTGACTAGTCTTTTGATTAGTCAATTGACTAGTCTATTGATTAGCCAATTGATAAGTCTATTGATTAGTCTATTGATTAGTCAGTTGACTAGTCTGTTGATTAGTCTATTGACTAGTCAATTGATTAGTCAATTGATTAGTCTGTTGATTAGTCAATTGATTAGTCTATTGACTAGTCTATTGATTAGTCAGTTGACTAGTCTGTTGATTAGTCAATTGATTAGTCTATTGATTAGTCAATTGATTAGTCAATTGATTAGTCTATTGATTAGTTAATTGACTAGTCAATTGATTAGTCTATTGATTAGTCAATTGACTAGTCTATTGATTAGTCAATTGACTAGTCTATTGATTAGTCTATTGATTAGTCAATTGATTAGTCTATTGATTAGTCTATTGAATAGTCTATTGATTAGTCTATTGACTAGTCTATTGATTAGCCAATTGACTAGTCTATTGAATAGTCTGTTGATTAGTCTATTGATTAGTCAATTGATTAGTCTATTGATTAGTCAATTGACTAGTCTATTGATTAGTCTATTGACTAGTCTATTGATTAGCCAATTGACTAGTCTATTGAATAGCCTGTGGATTAGTCTATTGACTAGTCAATTGATTAGTCTGTTGATTAGTCAATTGATTAGTCAATTGATTAGTCTATTGACTAGTCTATTGATTAGTCAGTTGACTAGTCTGTTGATTAGTCAATTGATTAGTCAATTGATTAGTCTATTGATTAGTCTATTGAATAGTCTATTGATTAGTCAGTTGACTAGTCTGTTGATTAGTCAATTGATTAGTCAATTGATTAGTCTATTGACTAGTCTATTGATTAGTCAGTTGACTAGTCTATTGATTAGTCAATTGATTAGTCAATTGATTAGTCTATTGATTAGTCAATTGACTAGTCTATTGATTAGTCTATTGACTAGTCTATTGATTAGCCAATTGACTAGTCTATTGAATAGTCTGTTGATTAGTCTATTGACTAGTCAATTGATTAGTCAATTGATTAGTCTGTTGATTAGTCAATTGATTAGTCAATTGATTAGTCTATTGACTAGTCTATTGATTAGTCAGTTGACTAGTCTGTTGATTAGTCAATTGATTAGTCTATTGATTAGTCAATTGATTAGTCTATTGATTAGTCAATTGACTAGTCAATTGATTAGTCTATTGATTAGTCAATTGACTAGTCTATTGATTAGTCAATTGATTAGTCAATTGATTAGTCTATTGATTAGTCTATTGAATAGTCTATTGATTAGTCTATTGACTAGTCTATTGATTAGCCAATTGACTAGTCTATTGAATAGTCTGTTGATTAGTCTATTGACTAGTCAATTGATTAGTCAATTGATTAGTCTGTTGATTAGTCAATTGATTAGTCTATTGATTAGTCTATTGAATAGTCTATTGATTAGTCTATTGACTAGTCTATTGATTAGCCAATTGATAAGTCTATTGATTAGTCTATTGATTAGTCAGTTGACTAGTCTGTTGATTAGTCTATTGATTAGTTTATTGACTAGTCTTTTGATTAGTCAATTGACTAGTCTATTGATTAGCCAATTGATAAGTCTATTGATTAGTCTATTGATTAGTCAGTTGACTAGTCTGTTGATTAGTCTATTGATTAGTCTATTGAATAGTCTATTGATTAGTCTATTGACTAGTCTATTGATTAGCCAATTGACTAGTCTATTGAATAGTCTGTTGATTAGTCTATTGACTAGTCAATTGATTAGTCAATTGATTAGTCTGTTGATTAGTCTGTTGATTAGTCAATTGACTAGTCTATTGATTAGTCAATTGACTATTCTATTGATATTTTTTATAATATTGAACCTAGAAACATGAACATTAAGAGTCCTAAGTTAGTGAAAATCAGCAGGAAAGTACTCTTGGTACTATATCGTTCTATGATTTGGCTTTTATACGCACAGGTAACACCCTGATTGATTTAAAATCTCTAAAATGAGACTTTCTGGTACTTTTTTTGTTTTACAACTGGTAGTTTTTGATTTTTTGTAATAAAACTCATAATGAATGTTTTTGTAACACATCATGGTGAAGGGTATATATGATTCGGCAAAACCAAATATACAACTCGCACTTGTTTTCTATTATATTGAAGCTAAAAGCATGAAATTAAGCATGAGAGTCCATTATTTGAGTACTTTTACATATATATTTAATAGCCCAATTCACGATTTGGTGTATTTTTTTCCAATTTTAAATATGTATATGCTATTAATTCTGAACGATTTTTTCTGCTTTTTGGGGGCTTTTCGCTTTAAATTCGTTCATTCCTCTATCTCCGGTGCTTCTAGAAGCAACATTTTTTGTTTAATTTCTTCTTTTTATTACTTTTGTAATTTAATGTTTTTTTAATTGTTTTTATATAAATTATTTATTTTTCAAGCTGTCTGTTTGTATTGCAAAATTTTGAGTAAATAATAACTACGTATTTAAGTGTAGTATATTTTATAAACCGTAGCATGAGTATTTCAGTATATTTTGTTAGTGAATTCTAAAAATATACACTAGATTGTGAATTGGGCTAATGCGAATATACTTTTTTTACAATATAAAAATATTGGACACATTAATTTTAATACCTTAACGTTATTGTTTTTTCTAGACGTGCCGAATGGCTTCGCATATTATGTGTGAAGTCATCGGTGAAACGCTTATATGCATGTAGTCGGCATTTTTCGGAAGAATTCATTTTTGGGAATAAAATATCTAAATTTGCTGTTCCAAAAAGTGAAACTTCTGAACTAAAGAACACTTTGCCTTTAGAATCTAATTTATTAAATTCAACTCCAGTTTCAATTCTCAACGAAGAAAATACAACAGGTTTAGATAGCTCAGATAATTTAACAGACAAGGACATTCCTATGACAGACATTGTGACGCAAAATAGCGTAGATGCTCCAATAGATATTCAGACGACAGAAGACAATTCTAATATTGAGGTTCTAGAAGAAGACATAGGTGACATAGATATTACAGTGGGAGCCACAGAGAAAACCTATTCCTACAAATTAAGGACACTACAAACGGCACTCGACAATTTCCGAGGACGATATTTGACAGAGAAACGGATTAAATCCAGATTACAGACAGAAAATGCTAGGTTATCGACACAGGTAGATAAATACAAGAAAAAAGTTGAGAAATTGGAATTTGAGTTGAAGAAGAAGAATGATATGTCGTCGAAAGTATCAAATTCTATGTCGGTTTGTTTAGAAAATAGTTTAATTAATCATAATAGAGAGCCCAAAAATCGTCGGTATGGTATTGGCTTAAAATTAATAGCTCTAGCTGTGTATTTCCTTTCTCCTTTAGTATACCGTTACTTAATTATTTTGCTGGATTGGCCTCAAGTTAGAACTTTACAACGGTTTGTAAAGGACTGGCCAAAATCTCCAGGTAATTTAAATGGAACTTATGAAGCGTTAAAAGAACGTGCACGCGGATTTACGGAGGAAGAGAAGTACGTTAGTGTATCTTGTGACGAAATGTCTTTGAAATCTTTTCTTGATTACGATAGGTTTAAAGACAAAATAATAGGCCTAGAGGATTTCGGGGACGAAAATCGTTCACGAAATATAGCGACTAGCGCTATGGTTATTATGGCAAGTGGAATAGGTGGCAATAGTTGGTCGCAAGCTGTTTCTTATTTCTTTGTAAAAGGTAGTTGTAAAGGACATGTTATGAAAAAATATATTTTCGAGGCAATATCGAAGTTACAAGACATAGGATTGAAACCTTGCCAATTCGTTTGCGATCAAGGAGCCAATTTCGTCAACTTTTCAAAGAGTGTTGAAGTAACTGTCCAACGACCATATTTTGAGGTAAATGACAAACAGATTCATTTTATGCACGACAGTCCTCACCTTTTGAAAAGCAGTCGGAATTGTCTTTTAAATAAAGGCAATAAAATTTATTTTGAAAATAAGCTTGTATCTTGGGAAGACGTGATTCATTTCCACAAAGTAGATTCAAATTCCATAAAATGTGCCCCTAAGCTAAGTATGGAGCATATTCATCCTAATAATTTCCAAAAAATGAAAGTCAACTTAGCAGCTCAAGTTTTAAGCCGTACTGTTGTTACCGGAATGCGAATACTACAAGCTTCAGGGAAATTAGATTCTTCTAGATCTTCAACATTTTTGAGCACCGCTGACTATTTAGAATTTTTTAACGATCTTTTTGACATTTTCAATAGCCGTACAGAGGGAACAATTTTTAATGCTTCCGACGAACAGTTGGAATTCCTTAGACAGGCCTCGAAAAAACTTCTTTCCATTAAAATTATTGACGAAAAGGGAATAGATATAACAAAAACTTTTAAATTTATTAACGGTTGGTTAAACAACATTTCGGCTTTGAAAAGCCTTTTCCTTTATCTTAATCAAGAAGGATTTCAGGGAATCAAGACACGACGACTTACACAGGATCATTTGGAACATTTCTTTGGCCAAATTCGAAAGGGATCTGGTAATTCAGTACGAATTACACCTCGTAATTTTTCAAGCTCATTCCAAAAGAGGTGGGGTCTTCAGTATGTCAATGTAGTAGTAAATGGAAACTGTGAAACTGTTTCCCAGGAAGATAAAATATTAGATTTTTCCATAGTAGATTTTGCTTATAGTTTAGATGCTAATAATACCCAATGGGATGAGTTTCATTCTCTACCAAATCCTTGTCCATCCATTAGAGAGTCAGATGTTCATGATAGTAGTCTTGATAGGGAGGAAAGTGTTGTCCTTGAAAACAATGCATTTGTTTACATATGCGGATATTTTTATTTCAAACTGCATAAAATGCATTTATGTGATCACCCCTTACCAAATTTTGATAGCAACGAAGAAATTCCGTTAGATTATAGCTTCACCTTTGCCAAACAATTTGAAAACTGTCACCTAGTTAAACCACCTCAAGAGTTCGTTGCTTATTGTTCAGAATTAGAGAGGAAATTCATGAGTATTTTTGATAGTAATTGCCATCGAGATAACCTTCTTCAAATTATTTTTAACGAGCTTGTTAGTATACAACCATATCTCTGTTGTGGTAATATTAAACATGAGGATATTTTAAATTTATTTATTCGTATTAGAATTTATTTTATTCTTAGATTTTTTAATGCCAAAATGAAAGAACCCAATTTCAAGCAAAAATATCTTTGCGTCTCTCACTTGTAATATTCTACTTCTTATATTCCAAATGATCCACTTCAATTAGGCAAGGACAGAGTTGTTTACTTGATACATTATCTAAATATCATTTAAAATCATTCTTTCAATATATGAGATATTATCAATCTTACAGGCTTTAGTTCAGAAGTATTCATTTCTTAGTTAAGATGCTTTTTATTTTAATATTTTGTATATATTTTTTTAATTAATTTTATTAATCATTATTTTGCATATATTTTTACATAATTTCATTTCAATTATTTGGTATTGGATTACATTTATTTCTCACACATCTAATTTGCTTGCTAACACAATAACACTAACAAACATAACACCTGGTATTAACAATACATTATTATAATTTAGTTCAATGTGTATGAAATGTATGTATATAAAGTACTTAAACCCAACATAATTCACAAAAACTTCCACTACACGAAATACATTCACCAATCTTTCTAAAAATGTAATATCTTTAATATATTTTATTTTTTGCATTTGCAATTTGTTTATATCATTTATATATTGAATGTTTAAGAGGTTTTGTGTACATATACTTTTATACTATATATAATTATTTTGAATTAAAATCAACATTGTAGTATTGTAGTATGAGCTATTAAAAACATTATTTTCCAAAAGAATCTTGGTTATAACTTTGTTTTACTGTAATCCAGGAGTAAGTACAGCGAATATAAAATGCGTCAGCATTTCTAGCATAAACTTACTCAAGACCATCATGCGTGGTGAAGAACCACAACCTACTTGAGGTGATGCTGTTTAATACAGAACATGACGGATCTAGACCAGAAAAGGTCGATAAAAAATCATCCAACAAAATAAAAACTGGTAATCATTACTGTAATTGACAATTACAATTACTAATTGTAAGTTTATTAAACCGAACATTGTAACACATTTGAAAATTATAAATTTTAATATATTTATGGCTTCCATTTCAGTGAACTCCGTGCATGATTTGGTCCAATTGGTCCATTAGCTTCAGGTCAGTAGCCTTGACAAAATTTGTAAAATTTTGTCCATAGTGTACCCTTAAACGAAAAGAGAAAAACTTTGTTAATAATGATTTTTGTTTTTTTGTTTTATTTTCAGGCACTTGAGGGTACTTACCGCTGATCCAGGAGAGATTTGGTCCAATTCGTCCATTAGCTTCAGGTCAGTAGCCTTGACAAAATTTGTAAAATTTTGTCCATAGTGTACCCTTAAACGAAAAGAGAAAAACTTTGTTAATAATGATTTTTGTTTTTTTGTTTTATTTTCAGGCACTTGAGGGTACTTACCGCTGATCCAGGAGACATTTGGTCCAATTCGTCCATTAGCTTCAGGTCAGTAGCCTTGACAAAATTTGTAAAATTTTGTCCATAGTGTACCCTTAAACGAAAAGAGAAAAACTTTGTTAATAATGATTTTTGTTTTTTTGTTTTATTTTCAGGCACTTGAGGGTACTTACCGCTGATCCAGGAGAGATTTGGTCCAATTCGTCCATTAGCTTCAGGTCAGTAGCCTTGACAAAATTTGTAAAATTTTGTCCATAGTGTACCCTTAAACGAAAAGAGAAAAACTTTGTTAATAATGATTTTTGTTTTTTTGTTTTATTTTCAGGCACTTGAGGGTACTTACCGCTGATCCAGGAGAGATTTGGTCCAATTCGTCCATTAGCTTCAGGTCAGTAGCCTTGACAAAATTTGTAAAATTTTGTCCATAGTGTACCCTTAAACGAAAAGAGAAAAACTTTGTTAATAATGATTTTTGTTTTTTTGTTTTATTTTCAGGCACTTGAGGGTACTTACCGCTGATCCAGGAGACATTTGGTCCAATTCGTCCATTAGCTTCAGGTCAGTAGCCTTGACAAAATTTGTAAAATTTTGTCCATAGTGTACCCTTAAACGAAAAGAGAAAAACTTTGTTAATAATGATTTTTGTTTTTTTGTTTTATTTTCAGGCACTTGAGGGTACTTACCGCTGATCCAGGAGAGATTTGGTCCAATTCGTCCATTAGCTTCAGGTCAGTAGCCTTGACAAAATTTGTAAAATTTTGTCCATAGTGTACCCTTAAACGAAAAGAGAAAAACTTTGTTAATAATGATTTTTGTTTTTTTGTTTTATTTTCAGGCACTTGAGGGTACTTACCGCTGATCCAGGAGACATTTGGTCCAATTCGTCCATTAGCTTCAGGTCAGTAGCCTTGACAAAATTTGTAAAATTTTGTCCATAGTGTACCCTTAAACGAAAAGAGAAAAACTTTGTTAATAATGATTTTTGTTTTTTTGTTTTATTTTCAGGCACTTGAGGGTACTTACCGCTGATCCAGGAGAGATTTGGTCCAATTCGTCCATTAGCTTCAGGTCAGTAGCCTTGACAAAATTTGTAAAATTTTGTCCATAGTGTACCCTTAAACGAAAAGAGAAAAACTTTGTTAATAATGATTTTTGTTTTTTTGTTTTATTTTCAGGCACTTGAGGGTACTTACCGCTGATCCAGGAGACATTTGGTCCAATTCGTCCATTAGCTTCAGGTCAGTAGCCTTGACAAAATTTGTAAAATTTTGTCCATAGTGTACCCTTAAACGAAAAGAGAAAAACTTTGTTAATAATGATTTTTGTTTTTTTGTTTTATTTTCAGGCACTTGAGGGTACTTACCGCTGATCCAGGAGAGATTTGGTCCAATTCGTCCATTAGCTTCAGGTCAGTAGCCTTGACAAAATTTGTAAAATTTTGTCCATAGTGTACCCTTAAACGAAAAGAGAAAAACTTTGTTAATAATGATTTTTGTTTTTTTGTTTTATTTTCAGGCACTTGAGGGTACTTACCGCTGATCCAGGAGAGATTTGGTCCAATTCGTCCATTAGCTTCAGGTCAGTAGCCTTGACAAAATTTGTAAAATTTTGTCCATAGTGTACCCTTAAACGAAAAGAGAAAAACTTTGTTAATAATGATTTTTGTTTTTTTGTTTTATTTTCAGGCACTTGAGGGTACTTACCGCTGATCCAGGAGACATTTGGTCCAATTCGTCCATTAGCTTCAGGTCAGTAGCCTTGACAAAATTTGTAAAATTTTGTCCATAGTGTACCCTTAAACGAAAAGAGAAAAACTTTGTTAATAATGATTTTTGTTTTTTTGTTTTATTTTCAGGCACTTGAGGGTACTTACCGCTGATCCAGGAGAGATTTGGTCCAATTCGTCCATTAGCTTCAGGTCAGTAGCCTTGACAAAATTTGTAAAATTTTGTCCATAGTGTACCCTTAAACGAAAAGAGAAAAACTTTGTTAATAATGATTTTTGTTTTTTTGTTTTATTTTCAGGCACTTGAGGGTACTTACCGCTGATCCAGGAGAGATTTGGTCCAATTCGTCCATTAGCTTCAGGTCAGTAGCCTTGACAAAATTTGTAAAATTTTGTCCATAGTGTACCCTTAAACGAAAAGAGAAAAACTTTGTTAATAATGATTTTTGTTTTTTTGTTTTATTTTCAGGCACTTGAGGGTACTTACCGCTGATCCAGGAGACATTTGGTCCAATTCGTCCATTAGCTTCAGGTCAGTAGCCTTGACAAAATTTGTAAAATTTTGTCCATAGTGTACCCTTAAACGAAAAGAGAAAAACTTTGTTAATAATGATTTTTGTTTTTTTGTTTTATTTTCAGGCACTTGAGGGTACTTACCGCTGATCCAGGAGAGATTTGGTCCAATTCGTCCATTAGCTTCAGGTCAGTAGCCTTGACAAAATTTGTAAAATTTTGTCCATAGTGTACCCTTAAACGAAAAGAGAAAAACTTTGTTAATAATGATTTTTGTTTTTTTGTTTTATTTTCAGGCACTTGAGGGTACTTACCGCTGATCCAGGAGACATTTGGTCCAATTCGTCCATTAGCTTCAGGTCAGTAGCCTTGACAAAATTTGTAAAATTTTGTCCATAGTGTACCCTTAAACGAAAAGAGAAAAACTTTGTTAATAATGATTTTTGTTTTTTTGTTTTATTTTCAGGCACTTGAGGGTACTTACCGCTGATCCAGGAGACATTTGGTCCAATTCGTCCATTAGCTTCAGGTCAGTAGCCTTGACAAAATTTGTAAAATTTTGTCCATAGTGTACCCTTAAACGAAAAGAGAAAAACTTTGTTAATAATGATTTTTGTTTTTTTGTTTTATTTTCAGGCACTTGAGGGTACTTACCGCTGATCCAGGAGACATTTGGTCCAATTCGTCCATTAGCTTCAGGTCAGTAGCCTTGACAAAATTTGTAAAATTTTGTCCATAGTGTACCCTTAAACGAAAAGAGAAAAACTTTGTTAATAATGATTTTTGTTTTTTTGTTTTATTTTCAGGCACTTGAGGGTACTTACCGCTGATCCAGGAGACATTTGGTCCAATTCGTCCATTAGCTTCAGGTCAGTAGCCTTGACAAAATTTGTAAAATTTTGTCCATAGTGTACCCTTAAACGAAAAGAGAAAAACTTTGTTAATAATGATTTTTGTTTTTTTGTTTTATTTTCAGGCACTTGAGGGTACTTACCGCTGATCCAGGAGAGATTTGGTCCAATTCGTCCATTAGCTTCAGGTCAGTAGCCTTGACAAAATTTGTAAAATTTTGTCCATAGTGTACCCTTAAACGAAAAGAGAAAAACTTTGTTAATAATGATTTTTGTTTTTTTGTTTTATTTTCAGGCACTTGAGGGTACTTACCGCTGATCCAGGAGACATTTGGTCCAATTCGTCCATTAGCTTCAGGTCAGTAGCCTTGACAAAATTTGTAAAATTTTGTCCATAGTGTACCCTTAAACGAAAAGAGAAAAACTTTGTTAATAATGATTTTTGTTTTTTTGTTTTATTTTCAGGCACTTGAGGGTACTTACCGCTGATCCAGGAGAGATTTGGTCCAATTCGTCCATTAGCTTCAGGTCAGTAGCCTTGACAAAATTTGTAAAATTTTGTCCATAGTGTACCCTTAAACGAAAAGAGAAAAACTTTGTTAATAATGATTTTTGTTTTTTTGTTTTATTTTCAGGCACTTGAGGGTACTTACCGCTGATCCAGGAGACATTTGGTCCAATTCGTCCATTAGCTTCAGGTCAGTAGCCTTGACAAAATTTGTAAAATTTTGTCCATAGTGTACCCTTAAACGAAAAGAGAAAAACTTTGTTAATAATGATTTTTGTTTTTTTGTTTTATTTTCAGGCACTTGAGGGTACTTACCGCTGATCCAGGAGAGATTTGGTCCAATTCGTCCATTAGCTTCAGGTCAGTAGCCTTGACAAAATTTGTAAAATTTTGTCCATAGTGTACCCTTAAACGAAAAGAGAAAAACTTTGTTAATAATGATTTTTGTTTTTTTGTTTTATTTTCAGGCACTTGAGGGTACTTACCGCTGATCCAGGAGACATTTGGTCCAATTCGTCCATTAGCTTCAGGTCAGTAGCCTTGACAAAATTTGTAAAATTTTGTCCATAGTGTACCCTTAAACGAAAAGAGAAAAACTTTGTTAATAATGATTTTTGTTTTTTTGTTTTATTTTCAGGCACTTGAGGGTACTTACCGCTGATCCAGGAGAGATTTGGTCCAATTCGTCCATTAGCTTCAGGTCAGTAGCCTTGACAAAATTTGTAAAATTTTGTCCATAGTGTACCCTTAAACGAAAAGAGAAAAACTTTGTTAATAATGATTTTTGTTTTTTTGTTTTATTTTCAGGCACTTGAGGGTACTTACCGCTGATCCAGGAGACATTTGGTCCAATTCGTCCATTAGCTTCCAGGTCAGTAGCCAACAATTAGAAAATTTCCAGATATTAAAAAATTTCTTGCAAAAAAACAAAGAATTAATATTATTACAAATACAACGTATTAAAATGTATTTTTCTTTATTTGCAGATATTACTTACCATTTTTCCACAAGGTACAACTTCGTTGGAGTTCATTTTTGTTATTTTTTTTATAAATAAACAAAAAAAAATAAAAAATTGTGAAAATTTTTCAATAAATTTTGTGTTTATTTATTTATTTATTTTTGAACACATGTTAAAAAAGGTAGTATATGGTTGATATTTTTTTCACATTAGTGTGCGTATATGTGATATTTTTTCTTTCTTTCATATTATGGGGGTAAGCTCAGCTGATAATCGCTTTTTACAAACGTCAGTTCTGACAAATCTGGTTATATCTGTGGTTATAACCCATAAATATGAACTGATTTACTTGTTGTCATTAATTGTGTCATTCACTATGTAATAATAACATAATATATGAGGGATACCAGAGATGTATAATGTTATGTTATTAAATTTAAGTGTTAAAAAAGGTATTTCAAAAAAATAAAAGTAATTTGTTAAAAAATAGCCAAATAAATCGCCAACTAGCCTGTAAATCGTCAAAAACTCGCCACGTCGCCAATTGAAAATTTTGGTCGCCAAAGGCAATGAAAAATCGCCACGTTTGGCGAGAAATCGCCACATCTGAGAGCCCTGCCAGTTTAGCGACGAAATTTAACATAGTTCCACTTCAGAAAATGAATTTGTTATTTTAATGTCCAAATGTAAGCATGAAACAAATAAAAATAATTTTGTTTACTTTTTTCTCAATTTGGTTATATTTTATTCGAATTTTGGCTAGAAAAAAAAATTTTGTTGTGGCAACACTGCTTACAATACTTAACACAATTCGCAAATTTCAATTTGCTTCACAAAAATATAACTACATTATTTTATACAAACTGAAATACTTATATATTTAATGTTATAAACCAAATGAGAATTATTTCAACTTATTTCATTGTCGCGTAAAAAACACATACAAAAAAATAATCTGTATGAGTAAATGTGTTGTTGAATTCATTTGTTGTTGTATCAGCAGACATATAACAACCAGTGTTGCCAGCAAATGAATTTCAAAATATACTAAAACTTGAAAAACTAAGTGCTAAAATGTTCTACGTATGAAAAAAAAGTGCTAAAATTTTTTAATCTTACAAAACAATATAAATGTTTGTTTTTTCTAGTTTTTATTAAAATACTGATGATGTAGTGCATGCGTGCGTAATGCTCATTTTGATATTTTTCAAAAGATCGTATTTTATTTGTAATATAATTTTTTATATATTCATAAACAACATTTCAATTCTTTTCGAATTTGTATTATTGAACATAAACATTCAGCTTAAATACGATTTCGAATTTTAATTTTAACCTTTGATATAAAAAGCCCTTCAAGTTCGGCATTAGAAAATGGTGAAACGAGTAATGACAATACAAAAATTTTCAAAATTATATACATTGATTTTTGTCATAATGTTGTTTTGCAATATCCAACCACTGATTTTCAATAATATTTTTATCAGTTATACTATACTTTGTTTTTTATAGAAAACATAGAAATATTTTTTAATTTTTTTTATCAAGCAAATTATGCTAAAAAGCATTTAGCATAATTTTAAAAAAATTCAATGCATTTTCACGATGCAAAATGCTAAATGTAGCACTGAAAGTGCTAAAATGGCAACACTGATATAATGGTTATTTATAACAATATAACATACAATGGTTATATAACATAACATATAATGGTTATAAAAGGATATAGATAACATAATGGGCCATAATTATAGTCATCAAAAAAGTATACTTTGGTAGGAAAAGCCCAAAACGGCAACGCTGATGGAAATATTTGATCATAATATTTTTCTATTTATCATAACATTGTTATACTTGATCATATTACGATCCAATGTGATCAAAATTTCGTTTAAAAATATGTATCGAAATCAAAATAAATTTTACTGAATTAGTTAAATTACATTTTCTAAAAAAATGTTAAAAAATATATATAAAAAAGCTTACTTTTTCGGCTAAAGTCAGTTTTATACTAAAAACAAGCTGAAATTGTTTTTAACAAAGTTAACATCACTTTAACTCTATCAGCTGTTTGTCATTTATCAAAAGTTACAAAAAAAGTTACAAAAAAACATACCAAAAACAAACGTTGTATGAATTATGTTATTTTTTTTATAAATTATGGATAAAGTGTTGAAAAATAATAATTGTTTTGGTTTTATCGAATATTTGTGTGAAGAAAGAAAGTCTAAGTTGCATGTTTAAGGAACTTCAGCCCATTTGAGCTGGACGCTGATGAGTTTTTTTGCGATATAGGTAGGCTTGCCAGATTTGAAATCAACAAAAAACGTACATCGTAGTTAAAAAAGCAGTACAATTAAGTAGAAAAAAGTACAATTGTTTGTTTTTAAAAAATTTCAATTAAATTGTTCTAAAAACGCTATATTGATATTGGTTTCACAACAAACTCAATTGAAAACTCATTTATGACAAATAAATTTATAATTAATCTATTTACAAATAATTTTTTAATATTCGTGTGTTATTAATTTATATTTTTTCTTTAAAAAATTTCGAATTCACCAAATTTTTGTTTTGTTTGGTTTTTGTTTTGTTTGGTTTGTCTCTATCAACGAACTGTCTGTCATATTTATCATTCTCATACTCTCTCGTTGCAAATTTTGTAAAGTACACGAACGGAATATAGTAACAAATTGTTACAAATTACCGAGAACTCGAACTGATATATTGTTGATAGAAAAACGTTCTAAAAACCCATACAATCTTATTCTGATATTCAAATTTGTCATTTAGCTCTTTTTTATTTAAAACATATCAATTATTACAAGTCAATAACTTTCTTCCAACTTCCTCAGATACTTCACTTACGAAAAATTAGAATGGCAGGATCGTTTTTCTTTAAATCGTTCCTTAGCGGGGATGGATAAAGTCATCGAATGGTACATGACGGAGCATTACAGACCATTTTAACATTCAAACATGTCCTTCAGATTTCTAATTTTTTTATTTCGAAAATTCATTAAAAACTTTCATTACATTGATGTCTAAATCATATGTTAATAACTTTAAAGCATTTTTAATAAATGTATTATTTAATACATGACAAAGACATTCAAACCTCATATCCAATGGATGGGAATTATCTATTAAGTCCTTAAATAGCGATTCTATAAGTAGAATAATTGTCTGTGGTCATATTTATACCTATAAAATTATGGTAAAATACAAAAAAAAAAGTACAAAAAGAAGTACAAATACTAAAAAGAAGTACATTTGCGTACTTCTTTAGGGGTTATGCAGTTAAAAGTACAATTACTAAAAAAAAGTACGCGTACTGCTGAAAACAGTACGTCTGGCAAGCCTAGATATAGGCTTGATAAAATAGCAACGCCATTTTTAATAAGTTTATTTTTCTTCAAAATGTTAATGAATTAATGGCAACGCTATGCTTGAGTGAACGCGTTTTTTTACATCAGCTGGTTAATTTTTATTTCTTTTATTATTTAAACTAAGAAGAAAAATGTATTAAATGTAAAAAGTTAATAACTCTGTAAAGAAGGTGCTATATTTCTAGGAATACCTGGAATTTTTGCTGTCGTGATATTCTTTGCCTTAATTTCTTGGTGGTATTTTTTCCTGGTTATGGTTGCTGTTACATTTTGTTGCTGCTGCTGTAATTTGTTATTGACTTAACAAGGAGAATACTTTACATTGCAATTAATAATACTCTATAAGAATTTTGTGAATTCTTATATGAATCACCTGAAATTTTATTTTGTGGTATACTTACGTTTTTGGTTCAACTTATTTCCTGTGGAGGCTGCTGTTGCATTGTTGTTACTACTGTTGCTGTATATATTTTTGAAGACTTTTTTAGCGCCATTTTGTGTATCTAATATACTTACATACATACATATAAATATAACAACAATTATACTCTTCTAATGGCTCCGGGTAAGAAAGTGCATAAGTGTGGCGTTTGTAATCTCTGCATAGGCAGTCAATCTAGCATTTTATGCAACATCTGTTCATTGTGGATACATGCATCTTGTGCAAAAATTTCTGATGAAGAAATGGCTAAAATTAATGAAGTCAAGTCCATGTCTTACATATGCTCGCCATGTAAGGGTAATATGTCTGCTGGTGGTTTACGTGGTGAAATAACCAATCTGAATGCCAAATTTGATGGGTTGAGTTCTAAGTTTGATGAGTTTATTGCCAAAGGGAATGATGACCGTGATTTTATTAAGCAATCTTTTACTGATGTAGTTTCTGACATTAAAAAAAGAACTGTCTTCGTGTGTGAGAGAGTTGAAATCTGAAATTGTTGATTGTAACAATTCAATACGCCGGGTTGAAACTAATACAGATATTAGACTGTCTGCCTTGGAGGCTGAAAATAATTCGTTGTATAAAAGATTCAATAGATCTGATATTATTGTTAGTGGCTTACCGGATTGTATTGTTAATCTTGCTGATACTATCATTAACTTGGCTAGTTTTTATGAAATCCAAGTTACGATACAGGATATTAATCAGGCTGTTTATATTAACAATAAAAAATCTGTTCTTGTCAAATTTAATTCCATTTTTATAAGAGACAGTATTATGAACGAATACTTTAAAACCATAAAGACTCAACCTCTCAAGGCATCAGATTTTGTCACAGATCCAAAAATACCGAATAATTTACTTAATCGACGAATCTTTCTGAACAAGCATTATTCTCCTGCTGCGGGTAAACTGAATGCTATGTGCCTAAAATTGCGTCAGAGCAAATTGATTAATAAATATAAACTTGTTAATGCTGTTAAGCCGTTTGCTAAACTTACTTTGCATAATAATACAACAATTGGGCGTGATGCTTGTGGCTGTGCAGAATTGCTGAAGATGGGTGCTGCTGATGTTCTTACTCTGCTGAACTGATATTTGTACTTAAGTATATTTACACACATTTTATTTTAATTTTTATTTAACTTAGAATCTAATGTAATGTTTGTATATGAATTTTACTTATTTTTTCTCTGTAAACTTCATTACACTAGATTCTCACTTAAATTTTAACTTTAAATCCATGTACTTATCCCATTTACATATATACTTATGAACTTCTTGTAGAATGGAATTTTGAGTAAATTCTTATTTATATGATTTTTTTACACATGCACTGTTGCTGGTTTTTATCCAATTAGAATTTAACTTTTATATTTTTGGAATTTTTAATTCAATTATTGCTTAAAAGTAACGCCATCATTATTCTTTTTCACTTATACGTTTCAATGTTGGCTACCCTGTTTTTTTGGAATCGATTGATTATTGGTATAATTTGTTTCAATTTTTATGCAATGTTGCCGGAATGAATTTATATATATGTAATTGGGATATTATTAATTAACTTTTTCTCTTCTTTTTTTCTTATATATATTAGATTTTAGTGCTTTTCTGATTTGAAAATTCTATTTTGCTACATTTGAATCAATTTAAGATTAATTAGATGTTATTTCTTGATCTCATTTTCTAATAACCAGCTGAATGTTTATGTTGGTATTGAATAGTTAATTTATTATGAAATTGTTTATTAATATTATGAATTTTGTACATTCATTTGACATATTTTGGTTCCCCGCTATACTGTTTTTATTTATCTTTGATGTCTTTTAGTGAAAATATGGGTCCTATTGTTAGCAGTAACACTTATATTGATAACGTTATGCAAGGATATGGTAACAAACTTAAGATTGGTCATTTGAATTGCAGAAGTATCAGACCTTCTTCTAATTCTATTAAATTGGATGAGATTAAGTCATAAGTCATTAATCATTGGTTCTACATTTGACATATTTGCAATTTCTGAGAGTTGGCTTGATGTAACTGTTTCTGACCGTGCTATTAATATTCCTGGCTATGTTTTTTGTAGGAATGATCGTCCTTCTAGAGGTGGTGGTGTAGGGATATTTGTTTCTAATATGCTAAGATTTAAATCAGTTTTTAGGGGGTTTGTTGCTGGGATGTGTGAATCTCTTTTTATTGAATTGTATTTTGCTAATATGAAAATATTATTTGGAGTTGTATACCTTCCTGGTGGTGATCTTAGTGTTTTTGATGATTGTCATCGTAGCCTCTTTTCAAAATATTTAAATATTATTGTAACTGGTGATTTTAATTGTAATCTCTTTAACATTTCTAGATCTTGTATTATGAGATCTTTTTGTGTTCGCTCTAATCTGTCTATAATGCATAACTCTAGACCAACTCACTATGATGTAGCTAATGATTCTACGTCCTTGCTGGATTACTTTTTGCTTAGTGATGCCTCTTGTAATGTCGTTTCTCACCAGGTTCAGTGCCCATCAATATCGGATCATGCCCTAATATTTGGTTCTTTCAATTTTAATACCACATCACATAGAAAATATATTGAATATAGGGACTATAACAACATAGATTGGAACGGAATATTTTCATGTCTTTCTAATTTTAATTGTGATCCGTTACTTAACTCTACTTGTGTTGATGTTAAGTGTGACTATTTCTCATCTCTTGTTGCTGACCTTTTTGCATATGTTCCGATTGTAAAGAAGCGTATCTGGGTTAATTGTGATTCTTGGATGAATTCTCATGCTATATCTGTGGATCTTTAAGAGATATGGCTTATGCTACATATCGGTCTGATCGTTCTATTGAAAACTGGAGGATGTACTGTAGACTTCGTGGCGTGTTCTACGGAATTCGGGATGTGCTGGAGATAGTAATAATATGACATGGTATGGTGATGTTGATAGTTTAAATGAATTTTTTGCAGGAGGTCATGATTCTAATAATAATGTTGAATATAATCTTGATAATGTTCATAATTATAATAACACTTTTTCATTCCGCTGTGTGGATGAATTAGAAGTTGCTGAGGCCCTGAGTAAGGTGAAGTCTGGTTCAATTGGTCCTGATTGTATTCCTGTCAGATTTCTAAAACTTATTTTTCCTCATGTTTCTATATTATTACTTGATTTGATTAATTACATTTTCTTAACATCCAGATTTCCGGTCTCTTGGAAAACTGCACGTGTTGTACCCATTCCTAAATCTAAAACTGTGAATAATCCTGATGATCTTAGACCTATCTCTATTTTACCAGCGTTGTCTAAAGTTGTTGAGCATCTCATTAACAGTCAGATGCTTCACTCGGTCATTGGTAATATTTATGAATCGCAATATGCATTCCGGCGTGGTTTTAGCACTACGTCACTCTTACTTTCTCTTACTGAGTCTATAAGGGAAAGTATGAATGTCAATAAAGTAAATGCTTTGGTCTCCCTAGATTTATCTAAGGCTTTTAATTCTGTGTGCCACGTTACCTTAATTAAAAAGCTCAGAGCTGAATTTGGATTCTCTACTTCTGCGTGTAAATTAATTAACTCATATCTGTGTGGTCGATCTCAATTTGTTGACATCAAAGGAATTAAATCAAGTACGTGTAATCTTTATTCTGGTGTTCCGCAGGGTTCCGTTTTAGGTCCTTTATTATTTATCTTATATGTTAATGATCTCTATTTACATACTAATTCTGAATCCTGTACAACATTTATGTATGCTGATGATGTCTTTTTATAATTTAAGGGTGATCGTACTAGATCTAATTCTTTTACAATTGATGTCAACAATGTTCTTGATCGTGTTTTACAGTGGACAGTTAATAATTCTCTTGCTATTAACCCTACTAAAACTAAGGCAATAATTTTTGGTTCTGACCACCTTACTGCTGATATAAACTTCTATATTGGGAATGTATTAATTGAAAATGTTATTCGACATAGGTGTTTGGGTGTGTTTCTTGATGATCATCTGTCTTTTAAATATCATGTTGACTTCATGTCTGGTAAGGTTTGGCGTATTCTACGTAAAATTTATGCTACTAATATATATCTACCTCTCTGTATTAGACAAAAACTTGCTCATGCACTTCTCATGCCTCATATTATTTACTGTCTTGAGGTTGTATCTGGTTCTTCTGTGGTTACTTTGACTAGATTGAGACGTATTCTTAATACTATTGTTAGATTTGTTTATAATGTCAAGTGTAGGGATCATATATCCTCATATGTACAACAATTTCTTGGGCTTTCTTTTAGTGACTTTGTAAAATGTCGTAATCTAAATTTTTTTTATAACGTTATCAGAAATGGTTTTCCTTTAACTTTATATAATAAATTTGTATTCTTGCGGTCTTCTAGGAATCCGCAAGTTCATATTCCCAGAATTTCTAGACTCCATTTTGAAAGGTCATTTGTGGTGAGGATTGCTCGGTGATGGAATTGTTTGCCTCTTGAACTACGTATTTTCTCTCACACAAACAATGTCTTTCGTCTTAAACTTCAACTTTATTTTGCCAGTTTGACTCACTTGTAGTAGTAAGTAAGACTAAGATTTCACCTCCTTATTATCAATTTTTTTTTTTTAATGATTGATTTTATTACTTACCGTATGCTTATTCGTGGTACTGCTGATTGGGACCTACTTACGTTTTCTATATTATTTAATTTAGAAATTTGAACTTATGGCTGGGGAGCCAATTATGTGATTTGGATTGTAACTTTTAATTATTAGTTTTAAGTCCTTTTATAAACTCAGGGTTTTTATTACTAAGTAATACATATTTATATTTTGGCCTTTAAGGCTTTGTATTGCTATATTGAGTAAATAAATAAATAAATAAAATAACAATTTATATTTTGTTTATTTCTTGGTTCTTTTATTGCATCAATTGTGCAGAGATGCCACTTATTTATACCAGTTTGTATGCAAAATTTCAAACATTTTACTAAGCACCCACTGGCTCAACTTAAAAGTATTATTAATTTCCACTATAGTTAAGAAACAGTTAGTAACAGGTTTAAATATTAAAGTTGTTTTTAAAAAGAACCGACTTTAGTGTTTGA